AAACTTGTGTTTTATTTTCCAAGCATATACCTAAGTTTTCTGAAATATTCAACAAAGAAACAAATCACACTAGTCATCATATTCAAAATTAAATAATTGAAATATGTGCAAATAGAATAAGAGATTCAATTGTAGAAGACATTAGTAAACAGACTTTTAGTATAATGTTTGTTGAAGTAAAGTAATAAATTTAAAAATGAGCATTAATAAAAAAAATATACAATTAATAAACAATATTATAATTAATATTATTAAAATATTAAAGTAAAAACCAATATTAATAAAATATATTTGTTATATTAAAATATTAAAAAATTTTAGGAAACTTTAAGATTTTTAACATGATTAAATGTGTATGTGTTAATTTTTCTCTTCCCCAATGAATTGTCAATTAGTTGAATTAGAAAAAACTTGGATAAGAAAACAAAAAGTATGGACTAATTAGTAATACTAGATTGGAATTGTAAATTTAAAAACTGTGAAGCCATTAAACAATGTTTCAAGATTATTCGTATTGTACTTAAAAGAGAAATAGAAAATAAAGCTGATAGATATTTCAATGAAGCAAAAGGTATAATTTATAAACCATTATTGCTTTTTATCCAATTGATGTAAATTTTTTTATATTATAATTAGTAATTTCTGTAATAGTATTCTGTAAAGTATTTTTGATTATTCAAAATTACAGTTGTCATAGAAANTTACTGGTTAATTGTTAATGTAATAATAGTAAAGTATTCTTGATTATTCAAAGTTACAGTTGTCATAGAAACAAATGACTTTAAAAATACAGACATTTTCTTAGTAAATTTGAGTTATTTTATACTTTTTAGTAAAATTAATTATCTTTTTTCTCGTTTATACGGATTAATTAATTATATTATTAATGATTATTTTTATTAGTAAGTGATCAATGTTTGATGGAAAGTATGTTAAGTCATATATGTTGATACAATTTGTTTTAATAAAATTCAATACAATTTTCAATAGTTATAAAATGCAGTATGATATATATTGTTTAACTTTCAAATTTATCTCTGTCGTAAGTACATTTATTAAAATATTTTGAAATATCTGAAATTTCAATAATATACCAAAAATATAGATTTTTATCAAGGTAATTTTTACTTTTTATAATTCAACTTAATCCAGAAAAAAATTACTTTAAAAAAATATTACATTTTATTAATTTAAAATTGCATTGGTTAAATTGTTAAATAATTGCTGTTTATTTATCATGTACATTTTAACAACCATTCATCAAAATGAAATTTTATTTTATTTGTTATATTCTCTAATTATATTATATATTTTATTTGCATATTTGTATCAATAGTTATGATTACTAACAATAATAATATGTGAAGAGGTTCATGAATAATATAGAAATCTATTTTTAAATAGTAATGATTAAATTGTATTATAAAATATTATTATTTTTTAATTAAAACAGTTGAAAATTATGTAGATATTCAATGATGTACAGTTAAATTTTTTATTTTAGTATTATTTGAATAAAAAAGTTTGGACACTGCTAAATTATTAGTTTTAGTGATTAATTTTTGTGATATTATCCAAAATCTGATATGTTCCCAATATTATAATATGAATTTTTTTATAATTGGTACTTTATGTAATGGCTTACTATTTTTCTTCCAAGAATGTTTTGTAAAATCGATAAATTTATCACTCAGATTTAATGTTGGCCATATTATTTCTCTTGGAAAAAATTTTGAGAGTCAACTTTTAGCTTTTATTAGATACATATATTTCTTTAATAATCTATAGTTGAATAATTTTTCTGTATACTTAATAATAATAAATTTATCATTTTGTGTTTTTATTATAATAAACTAATTAATATATTCTTAACTTAATTGAATGTAAT